GGTTGTCCAAGCAAGTATGCTAGGGTATGTCCTGTTGATCTTCATTCCTTTGAATTCTACTCGATCAAAGTAGAACAGCTACAAATTACAGAAGATTATGTTAAAGATGAATTTAGAACAATTTATCCATGTATTCTTAATTGCATGGTCACAGTGTAATGCATAACTATATGTCCATAATCACATAACTATATATCCATAACTTTAAAACTATATATCCACAAAATTCAGAAATAAAAAATGATATTAATAAAATGAGTATATTCCAAGTTTCATGCATATATGTCCATAAACCCATAAATATACATCCAAAAACACATTAATATATATCCAGAATTATTAGCAGTATGTCCACAGAGTAATACATACATATATTCACAGAGTACTACACATCCATAATCACATAACTATATATCCACAATTTTAAAATTATATATCCACAAATTAAACTGCATAAAGGACCTCATTAAACTGAGTGTATTCCAAGTGTCATGCATATATATCCATAAACCCATTACTATACATCCAAAAACACATTAATATATATCCAGAATTATTAACAGTATGTCCACAGAGTAATACATTCATATATTCACAGAGTACTATATATCCATAATCACATAACTATATATCCACAATTTTAAAACTATATATCCACAAATTAAACTACATAAAGGATCTTATTAAACTGAGTATATTCCAAGTTTCATGCATATATATCCATAATAAATTGTTAGTTATACACCTACAACTACATAAAATTCATGCAACTAGATTAAAGACAATAAGAACTGACCAATATCAATGTCATTGGCCCCCAAAAGCTTCTCTTTCTATCTTCATTGTAACTATCTATCGAGTCAATGAGAGATTGGTATGTGTAGGCGCACCAATTGTACTCTTTAATCATATCAACATCAATCAATGAGTTTAAGATCCTGTACTTGGAGTAGCGTGTTGTGTTTCCTGGAAGCATGGAGGAAACGGCAAAGACTACGAAATCCCTCTTGAACTCATCACCATGATCAGCTCTCCTAACAATCTCATCTGGCATCTGTGTAGTTATTGGCGAGCCTGCTGTAATACCCCACCTCCTTCTCCATGAAGTCAGCAGCAGTTTGTATTCACGGGTTGAGGTGTCTTCCATCTTTGTCCCCTCATTGACCTTCAGAGGCCCTCGCGGGATTCCCAACGTGTATTCGACATCTTCCTCTTCAATGTGGAGACTATCATCCTCTAATACAAAATCACACCTGCAAACATTAAAGTTGTCCAGCAGGTATTGCACCAACTTTGATTCATTGGTGCAGAGTTGGAGATGAAGAAGTCCACCAAATCCAGTTTCTACGACAGCTTGTTTCTGTCGTGGTGAGAGCCTCTGGACAAGATCAAACATCAGCTTTGGCCCCATCCTCGTATTGAAGTAATCTCTCCTGTGTTCTCTAGTTTGTCGGCGCCGTCTCGTTGAAGTCTCTGCAACAGTTGTTTCCTTAGCAGGGCGTGAGCGCTGAGCTGCTTGTGAATTTAGGGCTGCTGCTGGTTGTTCACTAGTTGGATTAGAGCTCTGAGCTGCTTGTGAATCTAGAATTGCTGCTGTCCGGTACTCTGTTCTTCTTCTTTTTGTTTCTCTAAGATCCTCAGCCAGTGTAGGTTCACGAGCCATTTCTGTAAATAAGAATTGTTAAACTATACATCCATAATATCACAACTATTTGTCCACAAACATTTCAGAAACACACTAATTGAAGACAGGAATGATATTTTCATACATGCATAAGTATTAAACTATAAAGCACAATTATAAAGCTATATATCCACAATATCACAACTATTTGTCCACAAACATTTCAGAAACACAATAATTGAAGAGAGGAATGATATTTTCAGACATGCATAAGTATTAAACTATAAAACCACAATTATAAAGCTATATATCCACAATATCACAACTATTTGTCCACAAACATTTCAGAAAACACACTAATTGAAGACAGGAATGATATTTTCATACATGCATAAGTATTAAACTATAAAACCACAATTATAAAGCTATATATCCACAATATCACAACTATTTGTCCACAAACATTTCAGAAACACACTAATTGAAGACAGGAATGATATTTTCATACATGCATAAGTATTAAAACTATAAAACCACAATTATAAAGTTATATATCCACAATATCACAATTATTTGTCCACAAACATTTCAGAAACACACTAATTGAAGACGGGAATGATATTTTCGAACATGCATAAGTATTAAACTATAAAACCACAAGTATAAAGCTATATATCCACAATATCACAACTATTTGTCCACAAACATTTCAGAAACACAATAATTGAAGAGAGGAATGATATTTTCAGACATGCATAAGTATTAAACTATAAAACCACAAGTATAAAGCTATATATCCACAATATCACAACTATTTGTCCACAAACATTTCAGAAACACAATAATTGAAGAAGGAATGATATTTTCAGACATGCATAAGTATTAAAACTATAAAACCACAAGTCTAAAGCTATATTATCCACAATATCACAACTATTTGTCCACAAACATTTCAGAAACACAATAATTGAAGAGAGGAATGATATTTTCATACATGCATAAGTATTAAACTATAAAACCACAAGTATAAAGCTATATATCACAATATCACAACTATTTGTCCACAAACATTCAGAAACATAATAATGAAGACAGGAATGATATTTCGATCATGCATAAGTATTAAACTATAAAACCACAAGTATAAAGCTATATATCCACAATATCACAACTATTTGTCCACAAACATTTCAGAAAACACACTAATTGAAGACAGGAATGATATTTTCATACATGCATAAGTATTAAACTATAAAACCACAATTATAAAGTTATATATCCATAATATCACAATTATTTGTCCACAAACATTTCAGAAACACACTAATTGAAGACAGGAATGATATTTTCGAACATGCATAAGTATTAAACTATAAAACCACAAGTATAAAGCTATATATCCACAATATCACAACTATTTGTCCACAAACATTTCAGAAACACAATAATTGAAGAGAGGAATGATATTTTCAGACATGCATAAGTATTAAACTATAAAACCACAAGTATAAAGCTATATATCCACAATATCACAACTATTTGTCCACAAACATTTCAGAAAACA